ATGTAACACCAACGCGAAACATTAACCAAAAGTTTATCTGTGCCTCTCTTTGTTGTAAATGTATTTAATTGTGTCGTCAATAAAATATGTAGAAAATGATAAAAAGTGGTGAATGCGTCTGACAGGTAAGTGAGATTTCTTAACATTCTGAATTGAATTGAGTTTTAGACAAACAAACAAAGAAATATATGCGTATTTACATACGACGATATTTTTATGGAGATATAATTGGTAAATTTCTCCAGCGTTTCTTTTCTAGTTTCTATGTCTTCTTTTCTAGTATAAACTAATCACTTGTATCCTTTGCTATACTAGGAAAAAATATCTGAATCCAAAATTTTCTTCGAGAACTTGTGCAAGAAGTGCGGAGTATAAGTGTCGCATTTGAACCACACAGGTCTATTGCTGGCAGAGTTACATTTCCCTAACATTAAGTAATATTGACGTTATGAGAATTTTACAAAAGATTAGATATCCAGAGCACATAGAAACGTTAGCGTAATCGGAAACGAACTACTTACAAACTAAAATTTAACACAAGAAACATTTTACTTGTAAGATAAAAAATCTTACCTAAAATAAATATTATATTTCTATTATATATTTGCTTACCGCTGCAAAATTCCTCTAATTTCCAATAGTTTCAATAATTCTTTAGAAAACCAAATCATTAAAATTGCCTTCTAAAAAATGTAATAAGACCTATTGTCACCTGCATACTTAAAATAACTGGTTTGATAGGAAAAATTATTTCCTTAGAAGATACCTAAGATTTCAAAGCTCAAATTAATGAGCGCATTTTTTTCGAACCTACTTTTAGGCTCTAAATATGTATGTATCTAATGTCTGATCTTAAAAGCTAAAATGTAAAATAATATATATACATCGATTCATATATGACGCCTAAATGCAGTAATAGTTCCTGAGGCCACTACCCCTTTAGAAAATACCAGCGTTTATCATTTCTATCATAAGATTTACTCTAGATAAATATTTGTAATAATTATAAAAAATATAAATACCTTTACCGCATGGAGGTTCTGTGGATTCATCTGGCTTACCTGCGTGCAAAAATATTTATTTCAAATGTCTCAACATAAAATCAACCTACGCTAGGAAATGCTTTCAGGTGGCACAGCAGCCTAAATCAACATCCTTGGTGTTAAATAACTAATATTTTCTCTCTTATAAAGGCTAAAGGTAGTTAAAATTAAATTATAAAACCAAAGCCTATTCAACTCTGTCTACTGTAGGCTAATTATATTCCCTAGTTCGTTTTCAAATATGATCTGATTTTAAACTTGCATATAGGACCAAATAGTTTCAGAAATTCCTAAAATTTATAAGTAGTTTAAAATTGTAAATAGAGCCCAAATCCTTAAATATGTTAATATAATTCTCCGAATTTGAATTTCATCTCCAAATAATATAATCTAATAGCACATTAAGGAATTTGGATGGAATAACAGAAGGATTTCATGTCAGAAAATCTCGACGTTTTCAATTATTTAAATTACCATATCAGTAAGGAGTGGGTTTAACTTTTCGCATTGCTTAACGTAAGTTTAACATTAATGTAGTTCCACTGTTATACTTCAATTAAAAAATATTTAAAAATGCGGCAATGTGTAAAGGAATGCATCTTGTGACAAAATATTTAAATATGCAATATAAGTACTGCTAGATATGTTTTAGTTAAATTTCTGTTGATACACGCAACATTGCGAAAATGCAGCACAATGTAGTACCTGAAATGATGAAACTACACAAACCCAAAAAAAATCAATACGATGGCTACACTGCAGAACGAATAGAAAAATGCTTTATTGACATATTTTCCTGATTGAACGAGAAACCAAAAAGCCTTTGTTAATGAAATGGCTTCCTTTAACTGCCATGAAATTGTAGCGCCGTCTGTCGAGACTGCCTACAAAATCATATAACCGTTCTTCAGGTGAAATTTTCGATCTTCAAAGAAGCATCTCTTCCAGTTTCCCACGTCAGATGTCGGGAGAATAAGATCATGCCTTCCTTTAAGTATCACATAAAATAGCAAAGTACGCTGTTACAACTGAAAAATCCTTTTTAAGAGTAAATCCATTGATATATTTAATCAGCATTTTTTAAATATATTGAGAGCAGATGAGGTTTCCTAGGAATGTTTAAATCGAAAATAATTTTGTCTTTCAAGAATACACACTCCCTTAAAAATATGATGCGCAATTTATATATTGACGACAAATAAGTCTCCTTAAAAAAACATTGAATTTTAATTTATCTACTGTTGCTTGTAGAACGCATCCTGTTTCTTAATTTTGGTGTTAATTATAAAGTATCCATTTACAAACAGGACATTGATACTACTGGGAAATTAGATGCGTTTGAAAGATGAAGAATATATAGTAGCAAAAAGAAATAAATAGAAAGTATACAGAACGCGAAGAAGACGCTTTCTTTTCTAACTTAAAATCACAGCAGTTTTGAATATTTACAAGTATAAAGTATTCCTATCAGAAAGCCGCTAGTTGGAATACTGTATACTTTTAAGCATTCGAATCTGATATACCTGAATGTATTCGAAAATATGCTCAATTCCAAATAAGATTCTACTTTGATACGGAATGAAGAAATTTATACTTAAAGTGATTTAATTTTGTATTCATAATCTGACAATCACGAACATACGACGATATTTTTATGGAGCTATAATTGGTTAATCTCTTTGGGGTTTTCTTTGGATATTGAATATTTTTAGACATTGAAGACGCTAATGATAAGGGCATGGAGATACGATATACTTCGTGGTCTTCATGACAGTGGCTTGCGAAGCAACCTACCCTTTTTCATTCCGAATTTTTTTACTGATAGAGCGTTTAAATTAAGGAGAGGCCCTGTTTTGTCGGAGAGTTTTGAACAGAAAGTGGGTATTCCTCAAATATGTGTTTAGTTTAACCATGTTCAGTCTGAAACTAAACTCTGTACAACTTTCTCCCATCATTCAGGATCTTTATATATTGATGAATTTCCAATAAATTCCTCCCACCATTTCAGGATCTTTATATGTTGATGACCTACAAATTAGCTGCCGAGGAGCAGATATGAAACTTTTAGACAGGCAGCTCAAGATTGTTTTGAACAGAATATAGGAATGGTAAAGCACGCAAGGATTTACGTTTTCGAAGCAGAAGACAGTGTGCGTACACTTTTGTAGAAAGCAAGGTATTCGTCCTGAACACGAATTATATCTCAATGCGCCAATGATTCCAGTTTCACCAGAAATAAAATTTTTAGGAGCGATTGTTCTACCGAAGTTTGACTTTTCTTTCTCAAGTCTTGATTCTTTAAAAGAAGTGTTTAAAAATTCTAAATATTTTACAGTATTGGCGAACACCTCCTGTGGTGCAGAGCGTTGTTCTATGCTTCGCATTTCTAGACCTCTTGTCCAGTCGAGACTAGACTATGGCTCAGTTGTTTATGGATCCGCTCGGTCTTCAATGTTGCTGAAACTAGACTCTGTTCAACATCAGGCTCTGCGGATTTGTTCTAGAGCCTTCAGGATGTCTCCTATCCAGGGCCTTTATGTTGAGTCTAACGAACCATCACTTAATCTGAGGCGTGAGCAGTTGTCGCCTTTTGCGGAATTTTAATATTTTGTCACAACCTGAACATCCTAATAAGCTGTGCTTTCTTGATAATATGTGTGACACTTTATTTGGAACATGTCCATCCTGCCTGCCTTCCTTTCCTTTAAGAGTTTGCTCTGCCATTGAGGATTTCTCTCTTTCTGACATGTGTTCCCAACTAATGCAAAATTTTGAAATCATAGCTTAAGAATGTGCACATACCAGCTTCTTGATGTTTTCAACTATCACTTTAATGAAAGCACTAATGAGATCATTTACAGATAAATCTTCGCTGAACACTGGCCCAAATATAGCAGTTATCATCCAATATATACAGAAAGATCCAAGTTAAATAATCATGTTGGGTTGGCATTTGTAATAAAAGATCACATAGAGGGCAGGTGCTTACACTATGCTTTCTCAATCTTAACATCTGAAGTAACTGCAATATATTATGATCTTTTGTATATCTCAAAGCTCTGCCGGAAAACGTTTATCCCTCATGTTAGTTATATAATTAAAATTATAGGAGATCATCATCTGGTTTGGCACATTCGTCTACTACTTGTATTTACAAATAAATTGTTTTGATTTCAACAATTTAGATCATCCCACCTCGTGTTTGGCGAATCATAATCACCTTTGGTTTTGGGACAAACCCTCACTCACTCACTCACTAAAAATTTTGTTCGAGAAATTGTGCAAGTAGCGTGAAGTATATGTGTTGCATTTGTACCACGCAGCTCTATTACTAGCAGAGTTACATTACCCTAACATTAAGTAATATTGACGTTATCAGTAATTCTGAAAATATTAAATATTCAGAGCCCATAAAAACGTTAGCTGTTACAAACAAAAAAGTTAGAAACTCTTACAAACATAAAATTAACATGAGAAATATTTCTCTTTCAAGATCCATAATCTTACGTTAAATAAATTTTATATTTTTATTATGTATTTGTTAACAACCAAAGCAAGATTCCTTCAATTCCCAATAGTTTCAATAATTCTTAGAAGACCAATTCTTTAAAATTTCCTTCGGACAAATGTAATAAGAATTGTTGTCAACTGCATATTTAAAACAACTGGTTCCATTGGAAAAATTCTTCTCTTGGAAGAGATCTAACATTTCAATGCCCAAAATAAATGACCGCATATCTCTTCAAACCTACTTTTAGGTCCATAAATAGATATATATCTAATGTCTCTTCTTAAAAGTTGAAATACACACTAATGTAAATGCATCGATTCATCTTTGACGCCTAAATGCAATAATAGTTGTTCATGCCATTATCTCTTTAGAAAATACCAGTATTTTTCATTCTTAACATAATATTCAAACTAGATAATTATTCGTAATAATGAGAAAATAAGTACCTTCATTGCATGGAGGTTCTTCTGTGGATTCATCTGGCTTACCTGCAAGGAAAATGTTTATTTCAAATATATTTTCAATGTAAAAATAAACTACTCTAGGGAATTCTTTCAGCCAGTACAGCAGCCTAAAACAACATTCATGAAATTGAATATGTAATATTTTCTTCCTTATGATGGCTAAAGGGAATTAAAATTAAATTATAAAAAAGAAGCCTATTCAACTTTGTCTACAATAAATTCATCATATTCCATATTTCATTCTCAAATTCGGTTCTTAAATAAATATTCAAATCAAGTTCAAATAGAATTGATTGAATTTATAAAATTTCTGTTGAAAACGCGAAGCTCTGCGCAAACCTTCATGGTAACGCCTCCGTATACGATCCCTACGAATCCTTTTGTGGGACCACTTTCTCTGATGTTATTGGAAGAAATGTATCCTTACTTCTATCTACTGCAACATGCGGGCAGAATACAATTACATATTGAGACTATTAACAGTGGCCGACTGGCTAATTCATTTTGTGGATACTGCACTTCGCAAGGTCTGTTTGACAGCATGAGTTATACTTAGCCATAGTTTCTCAGTCGTAAAAGGAAAGTTCAAATTTAAAGGCTTCCCGATAAAAAAGGATTTGTTAGAGGACAACGCAGTTTTGAACAGTAAAGACTTAAATCAAATTAATGAAAATGTAGAGCTCCGTCCCTTCTTTATGTTAATGCCTACGTATACAAGGCATAGGGACCCTTTCGAAAGATCCCTTTGCCTGATGTTATTAGAAGAAATGAGTATCCATACCTCTATCTTTTAATTAGTCGAAACTGTAATAGTACTTGAATGTATTCGAAAATATGCTCAGTCCCAAATAAGATTCTACTTTGACACGGAATGAAGTAACGGATATTTTAAGGTATTTAAATTTGTAGTCATAATCTGATAAAAACGAACATACGACAAAATTTTTATAGAGATATAATTGGTAAATCTCTTAAGTGTTTTCACTGTCTTATTTTCTCTTATAAGCTAATCATTTGTCTTTTTTGCTGTGTTAGAAAAGAATATTGAAATCTAAACTTTTCTTCGAGAACTTGTGCAAGCAGTGCGAAGTATAAGTATTGCATTTGTACCACACAGGTTTATTGGTAGCAAACTTACATTTCTATAACATTAAGTAATATTGACGTTACAGTGTTTCTCAAAAGATTAAATATCGAGGTCACATAAAAACGTTAGCGTAATCGGAAACGAACTACTTACAAACTAAATTTTTTTTCCTTTGAGAACATACAGACTCCCCGTGCACCACATATGTACAACACGGGGCTTACAGAAGTAAGTTAACTAGAACATTAAAGGTTACATGTATAAATAAACATTAAAAATTACATGCATAAATAAAGCGAACAAAAGCAGAGAACATCAGTCTGGACTTCACGAAAACAGATAAGTTCACTGGCCAAGTCACTCCGAACATTTTCAAATCGTTCTGTAAGCATAATCTAGGGCCATCAAATGTAGGGCACGACAAAAAAAAATGTTCCACATCCTGAGGAACTCTTTTTGAACATTCACATAAATTGTTTGATCGTAGATTAAAACGAAACAGATAACTTGCAAATTTACCGTGACCAGATAAAAACTGAGACACTTTAAAATTTAACGAGAGGAAAGACTCGGAAGGAAAAGAAGGAACTTTTTGGTTTGGAAAAGAAGGAACTTTTTGGTTTGGAACTTTTTGGAAAGGAAGGAACTTTTTGGTTTGGAACGTTTTGGAAAGGAAGGAACTTTTTGGTGACTTCAGCATTACAAGATGAAATGTATTCCTCATTCCACATAGCTAAAAGCTTTTTATAATGAAAGGATTTCCAATAACTCTTTGGAATGCTAATGTTGATATCAATGGGTAAATTTAAGGCATCTTTAGCTAAGAAATCAGCTCTTTCATTTCCGTAGAAACCATGATGAGCACGCACATAAGCAAAGCAGATATCAATACCTCTAATTCTAAGTGAACTAACAGTTACTAGGGTTTCGATAACTAATTTATCGCAGCTGGTAATACTGTTCAAAAGTTGAAGAGAAGAAAGAGAATCAGAACAAATAAGGTACTTTGAGGATGTTGTCCCATGGTCCTGGATCCATTTGACGGCAAGATAAATGCACAGAAGTTCTGCTTGAAAAACTGTACATTCATTCCGTATACGGTGTCTAAGAAAACAAATCTCGGAATGGCCTTCAAAAAGAACAAATGCAAGGCCAACCTTGTTGTTCATCTTGCTGCCATCTGTAAAGAAAACCATATGAAAACTTATTTCAGCAGTCTCTTTATAATCGCAGAAATTTATGGGTTCTAAAGAAGCGGGATGAGGAAGATCAGTGAAGGGGACAATTCCATTAATACAGTCTTCCGAAGCATGAGTTGCCAATGACTCAAAAATATTATTCTTATATGCAATTTCAAAATCAATAGGCGGAACTCCTGCAAGAACAAAAGTAGCCTCATAGCTTAAGGTTCTATAACCATTAATAATACGAAGAAGAACTCTCCGTTGAATCTTTCTTAAATTTCTTTTGTTAACCTTCTTGGCAAGAACATGTCCCCAAGCACGACAGCCGTATGAAATGAAAGGTACAATACACTGCTTATACATGAGTTTCTTAACATCGTAGCTTACTCCAAAAGTATTTTTGGCAATTCGGTGAAAGCCATTAATAATTTTTTTCACATTTAGCAGAAAGGAATTCAATGTGCTTTTTCCATGTTAATTTTTGGTCAAGAATGACACCAAGATATTTAACATTTTCTACAAATTCCAACGGAGAATTATCGAGCATCAAAGAAGCAATATTTTGTTCATCAAACGTACTGGGAACAAGCATAGCTTTACTTTTTGAAGGATTGAAAGTGAGTTTATGAGAAATCGCCTAACTGGAGGCAAAATCTAGAACTTCTTGTGCTCTCAAAAGAATGTTATTCAAAATCCTTCCTTGGAAAATTAATAGTAAGTCGTCTGCAAACGCAATTTTTAACAACCGTCGAGATGACTTAAAAGATCATTTATGATTATGTTCCAAAGCGTAGGTCCGGATACAGAGCCTTGAGGACAGCCTTTTTCTAGAGAATAAACCTTAGCATCGTTCCCTATCTGAAGCTCAGCAGTCCTCTCGTTCAAGAAGCTTTTAAGAAGGTTATAGATATTATGTGGTATACCGGCATGTTTTAAAATTGTTAAGATAGATGGCCACCAAGCATTATCAAAAGCTCCTTTGAAATCCAGGAAAATAAGAAGTGTACTATACTTCATTTTCTTTGCACACTGCAAGATATTACAAAGGCGAATAATGGCGTCTTCAGCGGACTTCCGAGGAGTAAATCCGAACTGAGAATCATTATAAAAGCATTTTTGTCTCAAATACCAATTTATTCTGTTAATGAAGAGAGTTTCAAGACATTTTCCCAAAGTAGGCAAAAGATTAATGCATCTAATATTATCAAGATAAGGGGTTCTTGTATCTAACGTTTTAGGAATCAAAACAACCCGAGCTCTCTTCCATTGTGCTGGAAAAACTGCTAATTGTAAACAAAGGTTGAAAAGTCTGTGTAGAAATGTGCTATCCACCGCATGAAAGTGCTGTACCATTTCATTAGAAAGAGAGTGAAGCCCAGGTGAATTGTTCTTCTTGAGATTTTTAATAACACTTTTAACTACTGAAGTAGAGAACGGACAGTCCATAAAAGAAATATAAGGTCCATCAGACTCAGTACGCATAGTTCTATGATAATTTCTATCATCACGCGCATTATCTCTTGGGAAATTCTTTGTCATTATAGCAACAATTGTATCACTCAAACTCGAAGTAACACTGCCATCCGGGAGTTTAATTCCCGAAATCTTAATCCTTTTCGCAAAATTGATCTTAACCCCATACTTATATATAGATTTCCAGACATTGTGAACAGTAATAGTTAAGAGAAAATTTCTCCACGACTCAAGCTTAGCATTAGCTTATTTAGCCCTGTACTTATGCCGCAATTCGAAATATTTAATTTTATAAATATTTTTAAGAAGACGGTTTCTTTCTCTCTGGAATCTACGCCTAGTAGCATTTACATGCTTTCTATAACAATCAATTTCCTTAGACCATCAAGGGACCCCATTCTTCTTACTTTTCTTCATCGGAATTGAAAGTAAGGCACAATTAAAAACAACGGTAGAAAGTCTCTTTACAACTAGTATCTTTCTAATGCAATAGAATCAGAGCAACTGTTAAGAAGAATATTCAAGTTACACAATTCTCTCTTACAAAGTTCAGTAAATAAAAACCAGTTCGCTCCTTTTAAATTAAAAGTACACAAATTAGAAGATATAATCGGACGGCATAAAACAAGTTCAAAGATAATCATTTTATGGTCAGAAAGAGAATCTTCCTTTAATTAAAATTTTAGAAACTAAAATTTAACGCAAGAAAAATTCCACTTGTAAGATAAATAATCTTACCTAAAATAAATTTTATATTTGTATTATATATTTGGTTACCGCCTCAAAATTCCTTTAATATCCAATAGTTTCAATAATTCTTTGGAAAAACAATACTTTAAAATTGACTTCGAACAAATGTAAAAGGACCTATTGTCACCTGCATATTTAAAACAAATGGTTACATTGGAACAACTCTTTTCTTAGAAGAAAACTAAGATTGCAAAGCCCAAATTAATGAGCGCATTTTTTTTGAACCTACTTTTAGGCCTCTAAATATGTATGTATCTAGTGTCTGATCTTAAAAGTTAAAATGTAAAATAATATATATACATCGATTCATATATGACGCCTAAATGCAGTATTAGTTCCTGATCCCACTACCCCTTTAGAAAAAGTGTTTATCATTTTATCATAAGATTTAAACTAGATAAATATTTGTAATAATTATAAAAAATATAAATACCTTTACCACATGGAGGTTCTTCTGTGGATTCATGTGGCGTACCTGCGTGCGAAAATATTTATTTCAAATGTATTTTCAACATAAATCAAACTACGCTAGGAAATGCTTTCAGTTGTACAGGAGACTAAAGCAACATCCTTAGTACTAAATAGCTAATATGTTTTCCCTTTTGAAAGCTAAAGGAATTCAAATTTAATTATAAAAAGAAAGCCTAATCAAATCTGTCTATCGTAGATTCATCATATTCCCTAGTTCATTTTCAAATTTGATCTGATTTTAAACTTCCATATAGGACCAAATAGTTTCAGAAATTCCTAAAATTTATAAGTAGTTTAAAATTGTAAATAGAGCCCAAATCCTTAAATATATTAATAAAATTCTCCGAATTTCAATTTCATCTCCAAATAATATAATCTAATAGCCCATTAAGGAATCTGGCTGGAATAACAGAAGGATTTCATGTCAGAAAATCTCGATGGTTTCAATTATTTAAATTACCATATCAAGGAGTGGGTTTAACTTTTCGCATTGCTTAAGGTAAATTTAACATTAATGTAGTTTCACCGTTATACGTCAATAAAAAAGATATTTAAAAATGCGGCAATGTGTAAAGGAATGCATCTTGTGATAAAATATTTAAATATGTAATATAAGTATTGCTAGATATGTTTTAGTTAAATTTCTGTTGATACACGCAACATTGCGAAAATGCAGCACAATGTAGTACCTGAAATGATGAAACTTCACAAACCAAAAGAAATCAATACGATGGCTACACTGCAGAACGAATAGAAAAATGCTTTATTGACATATTTCCTGATTGAACGAGAAACCAAAAAGCCTTTGTTAATGAAATGGCTTCCTTTAACTGCCATGAAATTGTAGCGCCGTCTGTCGAGACTGCCTACAAAATCATATAACCGTCCTTCAGGTGAAATTTTCGATCTTACAAGAAGCTTCTCTTCCAGTTTCCCAGGTCAGATGTCGGGAGAATAAGATAATGCCGCCAGGCATCTCCCTTTAAGTATTTAAAACATGTTCAAATCGTTTTATATGAAGATATAAAATTTTTGTTCAAAATATGGAGCTCTCCCAACCATAATCGTAATGCCTCCATATACGAACCCTACGAACTCTTTCGCAAGTTCTCTTTCCTTGATGTTATTGGAAGAAAAGCGTATCCATACCTCTGTCTATGACAACTACCGGGCAGAATCCAATTACATATTGAAACAATTATCGATGGTATTGATTACGCGTCAGCTATGAAGAGGTGTCCAGTGCTTGTATTCTCTACACATTGAATGGGTTGGCATTGATAGGCTACTGTCAAAGATATGCAGGTTCTCGTTTTATACCATTCATGGTGTGCGAACAACCTTTATTTATAAATTGTCTGGCCACAGGAATCCCGGACATCCGTAGCCCGATTGCCCTCGGATCTGATGACCTTAACTGTCCGCTTTGCGATTTCTTTATCTATTCGCCTGAATGGAAAATATATTTCATCAGTTTGCATGGCCATATGTCGATTGGTTTTCATTACAGACCACGAAAAAGCATTTTATCAGCTGCAGCTTCCATTTATAATGACTTCCAAATTCGAGAATTAAAACATTTATCTATTTCACACATTCGAGAGATAACCACATCTACTGGGTCATTATTCTTCAATTCTGAAGCTTTCACATCATTCTACGACGAATATATGTTCTGATGATACTTCGTATCCATACCGCGGGCGAAATCTCTCTTTTGCTTAAAGAAGAATAGCTAGAAAAGCATGTTGCCTTCTTCTTTCGGAGCTCCTTTCAACTGGTAGGTCTGACATTTCGCGTTTTGCATGCCTTGACATATATCACATAAAATAGCAATGCACGCTGTTAAAACTGAAAAATCCTTTTTACGAGTAAATCCATTGATATATATAATCAGAATTTTTTAAAAGAAAACATATCCGGAGCAAATGAGGTTTCCTTGGAATGTTTAACTCGAAAATTATTTTGTCTTTCAAGAATGCACCCTCCCTTAAAAAATATGATGCGCAATTTATACATTGAAGAAAAATATATCTGCTTAAGAAAACGTTGAATGTTAGTTTATCTACTGACTGTTGTTTGTAGAACGCATCCCGTTTCTTTATTATGATGTTAATTCTAAAATATCCATTTACAAACAGGACATTGATACTACTGGGAAATTAGTTGCGATTGAAAGATGAGGAATATATAGTAGCAAAAAGAAATAAATAGAAAGTATACAGAACGCAAATAAGACGCTTTCTTTCCTAACTTAAAAGCACAGCAGTTATGAATATTTACAAATATACAGTTTTCCTATCAGAAAGCCGCTAGTTGGAATACTGTATACTTTTAAGCATTCGAATCTGATATACCTGAATGTATTCGAAAATATGCTCAATTCCAAATAAGATTCTACTTTGATACGGAATGAAGAAATTTATACTTAAAGTGATTTAATTTTGTATTCATAATCTGACAATTACGAACATACGACGATATTTTTATGGAGCTATAATTGGTTAATCTCTTTGGGGTTTTTTTTGGATATTGAATATTTTTAGACATTGAAGAAGTTTATGATAAGGGCATGGACATACGGTATACTTCGTGGTCTTCATGACAGTGGCTTGCGAAGCAACCTACCATTTTGCATTCCGAATGTTTTGACGGATGGAGCGTTTAAAATAAGGATAGGCCCTGTTTTGTTGGATGCTTTTGAACAGAGAGAGTGTATGCCTCAAATATGTGCTTAGTGTAACACTGTTCAGCCTAAAACTAAACTCTGTACACCTACCTCAGACCATTCAGGATATTTGTATGTTGCTCAACTTCCAAAAGAACTTCCTCCCACCATTTCAGGATATTTATATGTTGATGACCTACACATTAGCTGCCGAGGAGCAGATATGAAACATTTAGAGAGGCAGCCGAGATTGTTTTGAACAGGATACAGGAATGGGCAAGTACGCAAGGATTTACGTTTTCGAAGCAGAAGACTGTGTGCGTACACTTTTGTAGAAAGCAAGGTACTCGTCCTGAACCCGAATTATATCTCAATGCGTCAATGATTCCAGTTTCACCAGAAGTAAAATTTTAAGGAGCGATTTTTCTACCGAAAACAGACTTTTCCTTTTTAAGTCTTGAATGTGGAAAAGAAGTGTTTAAAAATTCTAAATATTTTAAAGTATGGGCGAACACTTCCTGTGGTGCAGAGAGTTGTTCTATGCTTCGCATTTGTAGACCTCTCGTCCAGTCGAGTCTAGACTATGGCTCAGTTGTTTATGGATCCGCTCGGTCTCCAGTTTTGCTGAAACTAGATCTTTTTCAACATCAGGCTCTGCGGATTTCTTCTAGAGCCTTCAGGACGTCTCCTATCCAGGGCCTTTATGTTGAGTCTAACGAACTATCACTTAAGCTGAGGCGTGAGCTGTTGTCCCCTTTTGCGGTATTTTAATATTTTGTCGCAACCTGAACATCCTAATAAGCTGTGCTTTCTTAATAATATGTGTGACACTTTAATTGGAACGTGTCCATCCTGCCTGCCTTTCTTTCCTTTAAGAGTTCGCTCTGCCATTGAGGATTTCTCCCTCTCTGACATGTGTTCCCAAGCAATGCAGAATTTTGAAATCATAGCTTAAGAATGTGCACATATCCAGCTTATTGATGTTTTCAACTATCACTTTAATTAAAGCACTAATGAGATCATTTACAGATAAATCTTCGCTGAACACTGGCACAAATATAGCAGTTATCATCCAATATATACAGAAAGATCCTAGTTAAATAATCATGTTGGGTTGGCATTTGTAATAAAAGATCACATAGAGGGCAGGTGCTTACACTGTGCTTTCTCAATCTTAACATCTGAAGTAACTGCAATATATTATGATCTTTTGTATATCTCAAAGCTCTGCCGGAAAACTTTTATCCCACATGTTAGTTATATGATTAAAATTATAGGAGATCATCCTCTGGTTTGGCACATTCGTCTACTACTTGTATTTACAAATAAATTGTTTTGATTTCAACAATTTAGATCATCCCACCTCGTGGTTGGCGAATCATAATCGCCATTGGTTTTGGGACAAACCCTCACTCACTAAAAATTTTCTTCGAGAAATTGTGCAAGTAGCGCGAAGTATATGTGTTGCATTTGTACCACACAGCTCTATTGCTAGCAGAGTTCATTACCCAAACATTAAGTAATATTGACGTTATCAGCAATTCTCAAAATATTAAATATTCAGAGCCCATAAGTACGTTAGCGTATTTGGAAACGAACTACTTACAAACTAAAATTTAACGCGAGAAAAATTCCATTTGTAAGATAAATAATCTTACCTAAAATAAATTTTATATTTGTATTCTATATTTGCTTACCGACTAAAAATTCCTTTAATGTCCAATAGTTTCAATAATTCTTTAGAAAACCAATTTCTTAAAATTGACTTCGAACAAAAGCAAAAGGATCTATTGTCAACTACATATTTAAAACAAATAACACATGTAATGTGTTTTCCAATGTAACACATGGTTACATTGAAAAAACTCCTTTTTTAGAAGATAACTAAGATTGCAAAGCCCGAATTAATGAGCCCATTTTTTTCGAACCTACTTTTAGGCATCTAAATATGTATGTATCTAATGTCTGATCTTAAAAGTGAAAATGTAAAATAATGTATATACATCGATTCATATATTACGATTAAATGCAGTATTAGTTCCTGATGCAACTACCCCTTTAGAAAATAGCGTTTATAATTTCTATCATAAGATTTAAACTAGATAAATATTTGTAATAATTATAAAAAATATATATACCTTTACCGCATGGAGGTTCTTCTGTGGATTCATCTGGTGTACCTGCGTGCGAAAATATTTATTTCAAATGTATTTTCAACATAAAAAAAACTACGCTAAGATATGCTTTCAGGTGTACAGCAGGCTAAAGTAACATCCTTAGTACTAAATAACTAATATTTTTTCCTTTTGAAGGCTAAAGGAATTCAAATTTAATTATAAAAAGAAAGCCTAATCAAATCTGTCTACAATAGATACATCATATTCCCTAGTCCGTTTTCAAATTTGATCTGATTGAAATTCTAATTAGAGCCCAAATCCTTATACATGTTAATATGATTCTCCGATATTGAGATTCATCTCCAAATAATATAATATAATAGCACATTCAGGAATTTGGCTGAAATAACAAAAGGATTTAATGTCAGAATCTCGATGTTTTCAATTGCTTAAATTACCATATCAGTGGTTTTTAAATTTTCGAATTGCTTAACATAAGTTTAACATTAATATTATTATTTCATTGTTATACTTCAATAAAAAGATGTTTAAAAATGCGGGAATGTTTAAAGGAATGCAATTGGTGGCAAAATATATAAAAATGCATTGTGAATACTGCTTGATATGTTTTAATTAAAATTCTGTTGATACTTTCAGCATTTCGAAAATTCGGCTTTTGTCGGAAAGTTTCAAAAGAAAATCGTTTCCTTTAATTGCATACCAGATATAAAGAAACATCATATGGTATATTACCTTTACAAAACAGATAAATCTGCATAAGAATAATATTTCTTATCGTTATTCTACACTAGTGTGCAGAGGGTAAGTCATTTTTCCCATTTTGGCTGTGTTTCAGGAAACAAGCAAATGGAAGACATGAAATTTACATTAAGGCAGCACAATGTAGTACCTGGAAATGATAAAACTACTTAAACCAAAAACATTAATACGGCGGCTAGACTGCAGAACGAATAGAAAAATGCGTTACTGTCATATTTGCTGATTGAACGACAAATCAAAAAGCCTTTGTTAGGGAAATGGCTTCCATTAACTGCCATCAATTAGTAGCACTGTCTGTCGATACTGCCTACAAAATCATATAACCGTTCTTCAGGTAATATTTTCGATCTTCCAAGAAGCATCTCTGCCAGAGGCGCGGGTCAGATGTGGGGAGTATAAGATCATGCCGCTTGTCATCTTTCTTTAAGTATTCAAAACATGTTCAAATAGATATATTAAAATGTATATGAAAATATAAAATGTTTGTTGAAAAAGTGAAGCTCTCCCAACCTTAATGATAATGTATCCATATACGAACCCTACGAAATCTTTCGCAAGTTCTCTTTCCTTGTTGCTATTGGAAGAAATGCGTATCCATACCTCTATCTATAGTCACTGGCGGGCAGAATCCAATTACATATTGAAACAATTCTCGATTGTAAACATTACTCGTCAGCTATGAAGAGATGCCGAGTGTTTGTGTTCTCTACACATATGATGTGTTGCCCATGATAGGCTACTGTAAATGATAAGCATGTTCGCGCTTTACACCACTCATGGTGTACAAACAAACTTTATATATAAAGTGTCTAGCCATAGTAATCCCGGACATCTGTCGCCCTATTGCCCTCGTACCTGATGAACTCAGCCGTACGTTTTGCGATTCCTTTACCTATTCGGCTGCATGGAATATATATTTCATCAGCTTGCATGGCGATATGTCGATCGGATTCCATTACAGAGAAACAACCAGCATTGTTGCAGCTGTAGCTCCATTTACAAGGACTTCCATATTCGAGAAATTAAACATTTATCTATTTCACAGAGTCGGGAGACAACCACATCTATTGTGTTAACATTCTTCAAACATGAAGGTTTCAAATTATTCTACGACGGCCATCTGTGTTCTGATGCTTCGTCGTACACACACTGCAGGCGCAACGTCACATTTACTTTGAGAAAAATGACTAGAAAAGCAAGTTGTTTTCTTCTTTCGAAGCTCCTTTCAACTGCTATGTCTGACTCCTCGCGTTTTGCATACTCTGACATATATTGTTTAAAATAGCAACGTACGCTGATAGAACTGAAAATATTTTTTACGTGTAAATCCATTGATATATATAAAATCAGCATTTTTTAAAAGGAAATATATCCAGAGCAAATGAGGCTTCCTCGAAATGTTTAACTCGAAAATCATTTCGTCTTTCAAAAATTCACCCTCCCTCCAAAAATAGCACGCGCAATTTATACAATGACAACAAATAAATCTGCATAAGGAAACGTTCATTTTTAGGTTATCTATTGTTGTGTGCAGAACGCATCCAGTTTCATTATTTTGGTGTTAATTCTAAAATATCCATTTTCAAACAGGAAATTGATACTACTGAGAAATTAGTTGCATTTGAAAGATGAAGAATATATAGTACCAAAAAGAAATAACTAGAAAGTATACAGAACGCAAAAAAAGACGCTTTCTTTCCTAACTTAAAAGCACAGCAGTTTCGAATATTTGCAAGTATAGACTATTCCTATCAGAACGCCGCTGTTTCGAATACTGTATACTTTTTAATATTCGAATGTCGTATACTTTAATGTATTCGAAAATATGCTCAGTTCCAACTGAGATTCTACTTTCATACGGAATGAAGAAACTTATATTTAAAGTGGCATAATTTTGTAGTCATTATCTGATAATTACGAACATACGACGATATGTTTATGGAGCTATAATTGGTTAAGCTCTCTGGAATTTTCTCTGTCTTATTTTCTAGTATAACCTAATGACTTGTATCCTTTGCTGAGCTAGAGGCTCACTAGCGGCAGAGCGGTAAAGTGGCTGGACACTGGTAGTTCGATTCGAGGTTCGAATCCCGCTAACGGGCTGGCTGCATGGGCGTTTTCGTGGTTTTTCCATGTGTAACGTGTATAGGAGCCAGCCAGGTTTCCCTTAGAAAGTTTTCCACGAAGGAATCCCTTCCCTTAGGCAGATAGCCCTAATGTGCTTTGCCGTAATTAAATAAACCAAACCAAACCTTTTCTTCTTTAGAAAAAGGTATTGGAATCCAAAATTTCGTTCTCTAAGGGATTCACTTTTCTGAGAACTGGTGTGGTAATCCCGAGGTACCCTAGCCCTTCAGGTGATTATCTTCTTGATGTGACCGGGTTCACGAACCCGAAGCCCTAGTGTTCATCCCTCGTTTCTTTTTCATCTCTCCTTATATGTGCTTACTTCTTCTCTTCTCTCCTTGCGGTTTTCCTTTTCATAGGTTTGGGCTTAAGGTGAGATTCTAAATACATCTCTTTGTTTCCAGTTTATCACAGAGAGTAAACCGCCTACGCTTTTGCCGTTCGTTGTGACCCGTAAAGCGGGAAAGAAGGGTCTTTTTAGTTGAGGGGTATGGTACTGTCCCCAACACACTGCTTTGGCATCTGCTTCAGACTGAAATGGGAGGCACTCCCGTCGGACTCGAATCTTTTCTCTTTCAATCATGGCCTCTCTTTTTATTTAAAAAAAACCTGAGTCAAATGAAGCCACACAAGATATCGAAATTATTTGCAAATGCATTAGCGAGAAAACCCGCGTACCGATGGAAATGCCAAAGAACCTACTGATTTTCCGCGCTTTGTTGTTTCCTGTGCCTCTGGAGAAACGAAAAAGATGCCTCCTTTCCTGGTAAGCAAATACATTCATTCATGCATAGGTGAGTCAAAGAACATAAAGCGTCTCTCTTCTGGAGACCTGCTTATTGAAACCGTTTCGGCCACCCAGTCTCCTTCACTTCTACGTTAAACCAAACTTGGACAGGTATTTATAACTGCGTCAGAGCACAAAACAGTTAATTCCTGTGGATGTTTAATCTCGGATATCGACCTCCTGCGTGTTTCAGAAGAAAAGTTCGTCTCCGAGTTAGCTGACCAAAAAGTCTGTGGTTCTAGTCGGGTCAAGATGCGAAAGGAAGACCAATTGTTTGATACAAAACACGTGATACTGACCTTCAAATCGCCTGATCTGCTGAAGAATATAAAGACTGGTATATAAAATCTTTCGTAAGACCATATATTCCTGACCCAATGCGATGCTTCCAATGCCAGCGGCTTGGTCACTCTGAGACATCCTGTCGTGGCAACCTGACGTGTGCTCGATTGCCTTTGGTTGGTCACGATAGTGATAATTGCACTGCTGCAGCATTGTATATAAATTGCAATGGTGATCATCCAGCATTTTCTCGATCGTGTCCAAAATGGATAACAGAAAAGGAATTAGAGACGGCAAAAGTCACCAAGAACATCTCCTATGCATAAGCTGCAAGGCTGGTTCAAAGCACACAGCTGGAACCAAAAATATCATATGCTAGTGCCGTTAAAGCAAGACGTAGCATTGACGCCCAAACTTCAATAAATGCACAGACTCGCAAAATAAGCGAAACAGACTGCATGCAAGAAAAAGAAAACCCCAACTCATGTCGTACAAAAAAGAACAAATAATCCAGAGTAAACCCAAAAATGCCCTCCAAAAAGTATTAACAAAATTAAAAACTTAGCAATAGCTCATTTGATGATACAGCATCTGAATATTTAGATTCAGAGTGTATGGAAGTAAAAGAGGGGCCAGATGTTCCCAAGCATCTACTTCCACCACAAGCAAAACAGCAGCGCAGAAAGAACAAACATAAATCATAATGGCCTCCCTCGTATCATGGAACTGTCGCAGCTTCCACCGAAATTTGTGTGACATGAAAAGTATCGTCGATACTGATCACACTGTGTGCTCAGCAATACAGGAAGAAAACCTGAAACCGGAATAAGAAGCAGAACTTCGGAGGTTTTCGTTTGTCAGGAAAGATAATCTTGCATGTGAACGTGCCAGTAGAGGTGTAGGTGTGAGCAGATGGTCCAAGATCATTGTCTTTGTCTCCTGAATGGGCAGGACACATACGTCCATGAACCTACATGGACATTTCAAGCTGTCAATATTGCTATTTGTTCACCACCTCTGCTACCATTTTGCACTTTCAGCGTTGGGAATGATCTTTATAACAGCGATCATTATCCAATTTCT